ACTTTTGGAATGCCATCTGCGATAAAACCGTAGTTAAGTTAATATCATAAAAATCAAAAATAAAAATTAACAATACAAAGTAATACTAAATCAACTTACGAATTAACGTTAATCACAAAACTACTAAAGAAATATGTAATACTAAATCAACTTACGAGTTAACGTTAATCACAAAACTACTAAAGAAATATGTAATACTAAATCAACTTACGAGTTAACGTTAATCGCAAAACTACTAAAGAAATATAGAGCTACATCAACTTGCGAGTTAACGTTAATCGCAAAACTACTAAAGAAATATGTAATACTAAATCAACTTACGAGTTAACGTTAATCGCAAAACTACTAAAGAAATATAGAGCTACAACAGAAAATTGAACAGGGAAGTGAGAAGGAGAGGTGTGAAGAGAAATGGTTGTCCGGGAGGCCTTTTATAGGCAAAATCTTGATGAAAACCGCACCTTAGAGATGCGATTTTCGTCTGCCATGCAGGCCCATACAGACCCACATCTGTAACTTCTGCATGCATGTCGGAAATTAATTGACCAAAACCGCACCTTTAAGGTGCGGTTTGCATGTTAAAATCGCATCCTCATGGTGCGATTTTGTCTGCCAGAAACAGATCGCACCCCAGGCATGCGATTTAACTAGGGCTGGCTCTAAATCGCACCTGGGCCATGCGATTTTAGTAGGTCAGACCTAAATCGCATTTTGGCCATGCGATTTTACTAGGTCAGACCAAAAATCGCTTGGCTAAGGTGCGATTTGATTCCAGATTTTTGGAACGCACTTGTAGGGTGCGATCTACTTATAAAACGCACTTGTAGGGTGCGATTTATATGTAAAACGCATCTACAAGGTGCGTTCTATTAAAAAGGGTGCTATTAGTGGAATTTTTTTTACATGGGTGCTATTTTTGTAATTTTTTTTTTAAAATGTGCTATTTCTGGAAAAATCCCAAATTTGCCTCTCTATACACAAGGGAGACCCTCACATCCCAATCTAAACTAAGCAAGTAATTAAACTCCTTAGCGATGATGTCGTGGCGATGATCATCTTCTGCATTGTTCATGATGATGCTAACAGCAGTAGTAGAATCCAAGTTGAGGTGGACTCTTATGTAGCCTTTCTCCCACGCAAGTCTGAGTCCCGTCACTGCTCCTTTGAGTTCTGCACTCGTAATGGAGCATGTTCCAAGGTTGCACACAAAAGTCATCTTACTTCTCCCAAGGTGATCCCTTATCAGCCCTCCTCCAGCAGCTGTCCTTGATTGTGGCAAAACTGATCCATCAGTTTGGATTTGGATTTGGATCCACCCTTCAGGTGGTGGTTCCCAAGCAATCTGACATTGTTGGGCATTTCTTTCAGCAGTGTGGGTGACACTCTGCATCCATTTTTGAGCGTTCTTGATGATGTTGAACCACACTCTGATTCGGCAGTACAACCCTTGCTCCTGGAATTGCTTACCATCCATCATCTCTTCATTGCGTTGTTTCCAAAGATTCCAACATATCACCCCAAACTCCACCCCTTTCTCTTCATTGCTGATATTGTCCACAAGCCATTGGTGGAAAGGAGAGTTCAGGTTTCTGACAGTGAGCTTGTCTCTGAATTTTTTCCAGGTAGCTTTAGCTTTTTCACAACTTCTTAAGATGTGTTCTGTTGTTTCTTCTTTGTCGCTGCACAAATTACAATTAGCAGTGTTTGAGATGCCTCTTCTTACTCTTTCTCTGTTGGTGAACAGCCTATCATGGAGGACCAGCCAGAGGAAGTGCTTTATTCTGCTTGGCCCTCCCCAGCTTCTTCCACTTTTGCATCTCTGCTTCTTCCTCAAGGCTGGCAGCAAGGGCATATGCAGACTTCATTCGGAACCGACCATCACGTTCAAGTCCCCATGACATTTTATCCTCTCCAAGCTCAGGTTTGGGCGGTTCTGCACCTGCAATCAGAGATAAAAGCTCATCAGGAAGGAGGGTTTTCAGTCTCTCCCAGTTCCACTCACCTGTTTGGTTGACCCAGTTAGAGACTGGTGACTCCCTTTCCTCAGCAGTGATTTCCTCCGTCAGGTAGTCCTCGAGAATGACCCCACTATAGAGCTAAGTATATTTCCAAAAGCGGGTAGTCTCTCCATTACGAATGCTCCAACAGGAAGCTTCCTTCATTAGGGGCATTGCCTGAACGATGGCTTTCCACAAGCTAGAGTGATTAGTTTTTTTCATTGAAATAATTTCACCATTCTTATGTTTGTAGTATTTCCCTTGGAGGACTCTAACCCACAGATCATTCTCATTGTTAACAATATTCCAAACAAGTTTGATCATATAGGCTTTGTTAATGCAACGGGCAGATCTAAGCCCCCCCCCCCCCCCCCTGTTTCTTGGGTTTGCAGATTTGCTCCCATGAAACCAGGTGGGCTTTCCTCTTTCCCTCTTGAGAACCCCAAACAAAGCCACAAATTTTCTTATCAATAACATCACACACGGTCAAGGGGATAGGGGTAGTCTGCATAGCATAAGTGGGAATAGCATTCAACACTGATGTTGCAAGAGTAACTCTACCAGCAAGGGAAAGGGTTCTAGCCTTCCAAGCTGTAAGACTTCTATCCATTCTATCAAGGATATACTTGTAGGTATTCCTAGTGATCCTCCCATGAATGAGAGGAACACCAAGATACCTGCCAAGATCATTTGTTTCCTGTATACCAAGCTTAGCACAAATGGTCTGTCTAGTACTGGTTCTGACATTTTTAGAAAAGAAACACGAGATTTTTCTTTACTGACAAGTTCACCAGAGGCTAAGCAAAAAGAACCAAGACAGTTCAGGACACCATCAGCTTGGTTAGGGCAAGCCTGAGAGAAGAGCACAAGATCATCAGCAAAGAAAAGGTGGGTTGAAGCAGGACCATTTGGGGATAAAGTAACAGGTTTCCAACTTCCTTCCCTAGACTCTTTCAGGATGCAATGGCTAAGCCGTTCAATGCATAATGTAAAGAGATAGGGTGAGAGAGGGCATCCCTGTCTTAATCCTCTTGATGGCTTGAAGCTTTCCGTTCCCCCACCATTCCAGAGAACTTGAAAAGAGGTGGTGGTAACACAAGCCATGATGAGATTGACAAAATCCAAAGGAAATCGTGCAGCACACAGGGTTTCTTCCAAGAACTTCCAGTCAATCCTGTCATATGCTTTGGCAAGATCGACTTTCAAAAGCATGTAACCTTTCTTCCCTGTTTTCCTGGACATGGAGTGCACTGTTTCCTGCAAAATGATGATATTATCAGTAATGTGCCTCTTAGGAACAAAACTCGATTGATTTTGATGAACTAGATGGGGCATAAGATTTTTAAGGTTGTCAGCCAAGCTTTTTGCCACCACCTTGTACCCCATGTTACACAAGCTAATGGGTCTGAATTGGTTCATAGAGCAGGGAGCATCCACTTTAGGGATTAAGGCAAGCAAAGTCTCATTCATGAACTGGATTTTACTAGGGTTCCGGAAACAGGCAGCAACAAAGTTAGTAAAACTGGATTTTAAGGCAATCCAATCGTATTCCAACATTTCTGGAAAAAGAGGGCATAAAAACCGTCTTTCTCCAGGGCTTTGAGGCCATTCATGCCCATGATGACCTCTCTGATCTCAAGTGGGGAGGGAGGTCTTCCAAGAAGTCTGAGGGTTGCCTCATCAATATCTGGGAAGTCCGCAACAATGGTGGGTCTGTTGTCATCACTGTCTCTTGAATAAAGAGTGACAAAGTGGTCTCTAGCCATGGACTGCAGTGTCACAGGATCAGTTACCCAATTCCCTTGGTCATCCTTGAGGGTCATGATCTTGCTCCTTTTTCTCCTGCTCAAAGTGAAGTTGTGGAAATATCGGGTGTTTTGATCTCCTTTGGTTGTCCATTGTGCTCTTGCCAAACCACATCCTCCTTTGGTTGAATCCAAAGCATTTCCTCCTGCCAAAGCACATCCTCCAGATCCTCCCTAGTTTTTTTGCTCATTGGCAAGTGAGATGTTAGAGGGGTTCCTTTGATTGAGGATCTCAAGGGATTTGAGAGAGTTGAGCAGCTCCTTCTTTCTTTTGAAAATGTTCCCAAAAACTTCCTTATTCCAGGTTGAGAGCTTGCCCGCCAGCGCCTGCAAAGAAGGAAGGAAATCAAAGCCAGCAATCCAAGAGCTGGCAACAAAAGGAAGAAACTCTTCATGATCTAACCAGGAGGCAAGAAATTGGAATCTTCTCACCAGCTTATTCTTTCCCAGGTTGGGGGATGTGTCTGTGAGAATTGGTCTATGATCAGACTTCACTCTTGGCAGGTGTGTCACAGTAGTCAATGGAAAGCGTTGTTGCCAATCAATATTACACAGGCTTTTGTCAAGCCTCTTTTTAATTCTGGTCTTACTAGTAAACCAAGTGAAGTTGGGGCCAATGTACCCTAAATCGACAAGGCCACATTCTTCTTACAATCCTTAAAGGCACTAACTCTCGCAGGATTGAAAGGTGCTCCTCCTTGTTTCTCAAGAGGGCTGGTGATTGAGTTAAAATCCCCAGTTAACATACATCCAAGGTAGGGAGAGGCCTCTTTCAATTCTTTTCAACTCATTCCAAAGGCTTCCCCTGTCATGCTGATTTGGGCTGGCATAAACAACAGTAAGGAAGTATTTGTCTCTTCCTCCCATCACACATTTAAGATGGAGGAACTGTCTGTGGTTATCAACAAGCTCCAGATTCAGTTTGCTGCTGTCCCATAGGACCCAGATACCTCCACTGAAACCAGTCGCCTCAGACACTTTCCAAGAATCAAATCCAGTGGCCATGATGACCTTGGGAGCCTCCTTCCCACTGATCTTTGGTTCCAGGATATAAACAACATCTGGACTGAAAGTGGTCTTATACAGTTTAAGTGTAGCAAGAAACTTGGGGTGTTTTGCACCCCTGCGATTCCAGGAAAGAACTTTAACCATCACAATGCTTCAAGAAAACTTCCATGTATCGACCCTTTGGTCGAAATCAGCAGTTATCGATGGCCATTGACGTCTTTTCCTCCCCTAGAATACTGCTGCAAGAAGTATCCTTCAGGTTGGTTGCATTTTCTGGCACTAACTTGGCATCATCCTTATTGAGGTCGAAATTAATCTTCCTAGGATTGCCCAGCAGGTTAGAATGTGAATATGGATCCTTCTTAGGGTCTTCAGTATCCTCCTTCCCATTTACAGTTTGCCTCATCTTTGGCTTATGGCCTGATTTAGCTTCTGCAGATGTGATTTTGGTGTTGCTTGTCTTGGTTGAAGTAGGTGTAATCTTCTCACTGGAGTGTTTGTTTTGATTAGCTACTTCAGATGAGGATGATGAAAGTACCCCCTGAACCGAGGCATTGGCCTCCATGTTTTGCCTGACAGAAGAAGAAGCTGCATGCTTCTTGCTGTTCAACATTTCAGTTTGTTTGTGCGATTCCGGGGTTGGTTTCTGATTCTCTTTTCTTGTGAGTTGCTTCTTGTCAGCTTTTTTCTCCTTGCTTTCCTTTCCCTCAGCTTTACCCTTCTGTTCAATTTTCTTCTTTTCCAACTTTGTTTCCTCCTGTACTTTCTCCCCTCGATCTTCTCTTATACTTTCCTTTTGTTTTTCCAGTGCACCACTCGTCTCTTTGTGTTGCTCATTCATCTCCACTGTTTCCTGTCATGTTTCTTGTATCTCCATTTCTTCTGCCTCCAAGGCACTAAAACGTGATCCCGAGGCTTTTGTTTCCACTGCTGCCACTGTTTCTTTCTTTTTATCTTCACTCTTTCTGTTTTGTTGTTGGATGTTCCTCATTTTCGGTCTTGTTGCCAGCATCCGGGGTCCATAGTCTTCCAGAATTTCTGGTCTAATTTCCTGGCTTGCCTGTGAGGTGTTTGGGGTCTTTGCTTGATCTTCAATGCTGATCTTCTCTGCTGGTTTTCTCTGTGGGCAAGCCTCAGCTAGGTGGCCATACATTCCACAGTCATAGCAAACAATGTGCAAGCCTTCATACTCAACCCGCCTCACCCTTCTCTTGATTCTGTATTTAGAGACCAGCTTTTTCCTAAGATCAATCTCCACACATATGCGAGCATAGTTGCCCCTAAACCCATTGGCGGTATTGTAGTCAATTTTCTCCACCCTCCCAAGCATATTCCATATATCAGTAAGGATATCTTCATCGAAGTAGGCTAGAGGAAGGCGGGGAAGACGAACCCACACAACAGTTCTATTAATGGTATCAAAATCTAACCTCCATGGCTCAGCAACGATGTAATGATCCTCTATCGTCCATGGTCCCCCATATAAAGCTCTGTCATGGTCAAGCTGCGAGTCAAAAGATGCTTGAAAGTATCCATTGCCGATATCCCCCACCTTCATCCCTCCCGTTTTCGCCCACATTCTCTGGACTCTCCTATGGACAAAGACGAAGGGGAAGTTCTTCCCAAGAACTCGGAATGTAATAGCCCGTCTCCATCTATTGCAGATAATTGCATTTGTTCGCTTTTTGATTCTGATTGTAGGGCACTCTGGATCATCTTCTCCATTTTCATCGTCGGATTCATCCAACATTAGGTAATCTCCCTCTAGGATCTCCAGCGGCGCCCCATTTCTGAGGAATGAATCTTTGTAGGAGATTTTGCGGGCAGCGGACTCTTGGTTGACATCGGGGTTAGAAAAGGGTCTCCCTTTTTCCGGCTGCTCCGGGCTAAGCATCTCTTCGTCGGCCGCCCTGGCGGTGACTATCGCAACATCCATATCCACCTGCCCTGAGAACGCAGAGCTAGACTGCGCTTTGGCTTTCTTACTGGGTTGGACGGGGGTTCCCGTCGGTGAGCCTTTCTGCTGGAGGCTTTCCTGCGGTGAGCCATCCGGCGGTTTCAGACAATGGTCCTCCCCCTGCACGGGAGGCTTGCTCCCAACGGTCATCAACGGTAAGGAAAAGCAGCAGAAAGGAGGAGAGAGGGGAGAGCTTTTTCTCTCTTTTTCTCTCTCAACTTTCCTCCCCAGATTACATCTTGATTCTGTCAGTAGCCATGAAACTTCGAAAAGAAATGGATACACATGGATGAGATGAATCATAGATCAATCAGGCCATAATAATAATGAAGTAATAGGGGGACGGCAGGGAGCCAAGTACATGTTTTTCTTCTTTCTCGTGTTAAGTTCATTACAACAGGAGGCAAGGAACCTTTCCTTGTAGCAAACCTAACACCCTCCAGACTTTTCTTTTCCCTGAAATCCATCCTGTTCCTTTCCGACTCTTGTGTATACCAGACAATGGTTCTTCTCCATCTTACTACACCAGTTACCAAACAAAGAACAGGGCAGCCATCATAGCCTTATCCCCGCATGATAGATTAATCACTATACAACATTTTTCTGTTTGTTCAAGGCAAAAGCCAGAATGAGCCAGCCAAAAGACATGAATATCAATGCTCGTGGCGTGGCCCATTCTACCGGGCATTCAGGATATATTCTTCACCATTGAGTGATGTGGTAACCCCTCTACAACAGCCAAAAACAGAACTCCTCCAGCCATATTACTCTCGTTCCATACCCAAAAGTCTTCGGCAGGCAATACACCAGTGCGAAGAAGTGATCCGACCAACCTATATTGTGTTACAAAGACTGTCAACTATTTCCACCACACCAAATATGCAAGCTCGGTACTTCCACCAAGAAGCAGGAAGCTTTTGCGACACTAATGGAGATAAAAAAAATTAAGCAAGTACCTGCTTCTTCATTGGGAGACAGGCGGCCTCCCCCAACCAGCCAGCAGCTTCAAGATACCGTTCCGTAACATATTGATGCAATATACAGATTCTTTGACCATTTATCCTATCAGCATGCACCAAAAAAAAAAAAGGTTCATAACTCTTCCTTCTTAGACAGTAGACATTAAGCGAATGATATGAAAACAACAAGTTGCTTGGCAAAAAAGAAAGATAAAAGAGATGAATCACTCGGTTGATTGTCCTAACTGTTTAGCGTCTCGAAAGATCGATTGTCCAAGGATAAATCACATGATGCGTGGGCCAAAAGGGAAGGGACCACAACTCTGATATTATGCTAGTTTATTCAATTCGCATAGAACCATGAAACTTTCTGGCTTACCTTAACATGGGTACTAGGAAAAGCAGAAGTCCTCAAGGTTTCTTGAGCAACTTCTGGTGTTTTCTTCTTGGGAGTACTAAGAATGAATGCAGCCTGGTCGGCTGTAGCTGCTGCTGCAGTAATTCGGTATCCGTTCTCCCATCTTCTATGGATCCCTTCACTAGGGTAAAGGAAATCGAGTTCAACCACCTAGTTGAGAGAGAGAGAGAGAGAGAGAGGCAACATATAAGCATTGTGATATAAATTCCTTCACAAATAGATGTACCAAGCAGTGTGGTAAGATCATTAACCCAACCTGGTTCGGATAACCTGCATTTCTGGACATTACAATCCCCCACTTACTGCCTGCAGTTGTCATTGAGGTAACAGAAAATCCTTCTTTCCATTTTTTATTGATCCATTTGAAAGGGAATACATCACTAACTTTGTAGGATTGCTGTGTATATGCAGTCCCTACCAAAAACAATTACCAAAACAAGAGAGAAAATGGCAGATGTAGTAAGCAAAAAGCTATACAAAAACAATTAGCATATTAGCTAATACAGACTCAAGGGTAAAAGTTTCTAAGCTATTGACTGCATGCACTAGAAACTTCTAGAACTGTATAGTAAGTGAACTACTGGTTCATCATCACTCACGGTTCATCACACCTACTACATAGACATGCTTCCTCGCCTATACTACTTGTCATTGATTAGGGAATTCTTCAAAATCCAAAATTGCTACAATTTAACACGAAACATCACTATTCACAGCAGGAAAGAGATTGAAAAGTATCCTTCCGAATCCACCTATTGTGGACTAAGGTTAAATCATTGAGCAAGGTTTGCCTAATCCAATCCCGCCAAGTTCAGAAGCCACCAAACACTTGTTCATGAAAATCATAAACTTCAAGAAACAGAGTGGAAAATCCTTCAATGATAACAGGCTTCAAACCTCTGCTAGCCCAGTCTGCCTAAGTTCAGCAAGCCACCAATCAATTAAAAACGTTCATGATCAAGAAAAAAACGACTTCCCCAGGTCATGATGGCTAGGTTGATCAAACAAATGGAATATATTAAAAAGCTTTATAAAAAAATTAGTTAATGTATCTCTACCCTTTGACATAACCACCAAGGAACTTCCATTAGTTGTCCCAGCGATAGAAGTTATGTAAAAGTTCTTATCCCACTGCTCCATTATCCACTCCTGACGAGAATATCAGAAAATAACAAAGCATTAGTTGATGCTGGCTAAGGCTTCCATATGAATACCATAAGAGCGAAGAATACCAACCTTGGGCAAGAAAATGCGAGATAATTCATAAACCTGGGCACTGAACCCAGTTCCTGCATCCATGACAACCGCCCACAAATTAGCCGATGAAGAGATGCAGCTAATGAACAGACCGTCTTCCCTTCCTTTGTCTACATGTTGCCCAAGCCTTGAATCTCCAACATTATAGTGATACCTGCAGGACAAGAGTTCCCATCACTGGATCAGCAATCTAAAACTTTGGTATTTAAGACTCCAAAACCAAGGCTGGAATAAGTGCTCCTATAGCTAAGTGATGCGAACAGCAAGTAATAAGCGTCAACTTTACCAATTTACATTAATCAGGCAAACTATATCATAATTCAAAACCAGCATGTTAGTTATTTCGATTATTGTATAAGCTCGTTATATCACCAAGTGAGGATGTGCAACCTCTGTGGACATGATCATGTACCTCTGCTTCATTGAATTTCTACAATTGTATACTGAAATCCACTGTGTAGCAGGAGTCCCAAGCCGAATTTTCTTTTTCGGTTGACCACCATCTCCCAAGCCAACAAGAGACCTTCCCCTCTTTTGGCCAGCCTACAGCACATTGGAGACCAAATGCACAGTTTAGAAACCAAAAGACCACAATCAACCTAACATGAGTAATACCAATTAGTCAACCAGTATACAACCTTTATGGCCCCATCAGTTAGAATGGGCCGTAACAAGACATTGGCGCCTATACTGTTATCAAAAATGGATATGAGCTTCGAGTAATTCGGTTCTTCGTCAAATTTCATATTGGTCACCATCTCAAGAAAATGTTGAAACGGAGGAGGGCACAAGCAACACAGAATCTCAGGAGAAGTAGCCATCTTCTTCTTACAGACAAGGAATCCTTTGTTTTCACCCTGCATCACAACCAAACCATCATGTTTTTGCAGAAGAAAAGAAGGCTGGATATGTAGATTTTTGTGAAATGTATAGTTACCACGTAGCCTTGCCATGGAAGCTTTCCCCTAAGAAGGAATACTAAGGTATAAGCTAGGGACTCAAGGTCATCCCTACGGCTTCCCGTCCTACCCAAATGTGCATGTACACTAGCATACCGCACAGTGCCTCTGTGAAAATGTAACATAAATCTGGTTATTGCATAAATTAGGGGGAAATGCCGTTATTGGGCGTTAGGAACCTACAAAAGCATGATAGACAGAAAAGGAAAATCAATTAGACACAGGCAACACTATCTTCCTTCTGGAATGTAAACTTAGAAACATTGCAGAGCCAACAGAGATATGGACACTCACTTCAGACACTTTTTCAGAGGACAGTAATACTATGAGAATCATAGCCATCTGCTAAAAAGCGAGGAAGAGAACAAATATCTTAGCTTTCCTCCACACATCTAAACTTCTCAGACAGAAACCCTCCAGACATCATGCGAAAGGTGGTCCATGAGAGTTTTGTGGCATCACACAATTCACAAAGGCTCATAGATAAAGATCCCCTTTCTTGTTGGAGTTACAAAAGTTGGATAACTTTGTTAATTTAGTTCATCTTCTTACATGCAAAATGTGAATGCAAACTCACAGACCATTACTGAATAACTCTACAAAGACACCCTGAAAGCAAAAATATTATTGTTTAAAGAAACACCCTCTAAAAATTAAACAAATATATTCTTGATAAACTCTCGGAAATCTCAAGCTATAAAAGAGCAGTTCCACGAGCATCATGCTGACAAAACTCTAGATATTAGTTCCCAAAACAAAACAGGAATATCTCACAAAACGTAATCATTCACTAGTCCAAGAGACATTAAACATCAGAGGCTGATCACCTGAAAACATCAGGCTTTTGGTCATAATCCACATGCCGACCGGATGCTGTATCTTTCCACCTTGAAGCTGAAATGAAATTATTGTTCCAACATCGGCTCTCCCATAAAGAAAGATGAAGTTCCAACATTCTACGAATTATATAAAAAGAAAAAGATAGAAACGGAGGCATACCCAAACCGAGATCGACTAGATACAATTTCTTCTCCTCAGGTGTGCCGGGCTGACCGAGCAAAAAGTTCTCTGGCTTAACATCTCCGTGCACAAAGCTAAGAAATAATACGGAATGCATTACATACTATACCGTATGATTTTTTTTTTAAAGAGAGAAATTTTGATGGTTTCACAGTACCCTTTTGAGTGCAGCTGTTCTAGAATGGATATCGACTCCACTGCTATACAAGCAACCATCTGCTCAGACAGCCTGCATCATATGCATTTTTCAGTAAAAACATAAGGCTTTAACATTAAACATCTCCGAGAACAGCAACGAAATATTTGAAGGCAAACAGCGCCAATAAGAAAATAGAGAAATCTTGTACATTTGATTGTTAGAGTTCCACACATCCCAGAGGCTTGGCCCAAGCATGTCCATTACCTGAAGAGAAAGAAGGTCCAGAAATAAGAGACTGAGAATAACTGATGTCAGCATCAGAGAGAAGTTTAACCAATTATAGAGGGTGTGTGCCTTACAAGGATATAGTAATCTCCTTGTTGGCCTTTGTAATGGACAAAGGGAAGCCCATAACAACCATTGAGGGTGCTTCATAAGGGTCGATACCAAAAAAAAAAAAAAAAGACTGTTAGGTCATATAACGCAAAGTAAAACAAAATATTCAACAGAACCACTCGTAAAGCCCTACCTGTATACTTGCCACTCATAAGGAGGACCATAATTGCATCCTTTACTATTCTTGTGTTCAAATTTCAAAGCAAGCTACAAAATTTGAATGAGAGATCCATAAACAAAAATGACAAAGGTCATCAGGTACAAAACAAAATGAGTAAAGAATATGCATAAATTGATAAAGTGAATAAGGGACAAACCTCATAGGCATCAGGACCATTGCGCCCAGCGCCGCCTGACACCCTTCTTCCAACATAAACTTGCCCAAAGCCTCCTTTCCCAAGCTTTCTGTCTATTTTGTACACCGGAGAGTTTCCTAGTTTCACCTATTGATGAGAGGGAAAAATAGATACTATCTGTCACCCACACAATTGCAAGATGAACAAGCATATAACACTTCACATCAAGTTCCCAATGCGGAAATTTTCTCCATGCTAAATCTAGTCTATATCTTCCAGTGTACTTCTGGAAGTTCTGAAATATTAGTTGCATCTTAGATGAATACTAGACGCTACAGTAACAGCTTATACTGCCGACATTTATCCAGACTCAAAACAACAGCAAAAAGTCAAGACACTGCCAGAATCTGGCAAAGAAGATCAGTACCCTTTCAGGTAGAGGACTGGCGTTTCCTTCCTCTTCACCAACTACCAATTTTTCAGCAATTTTCTCAACTGGTTGCCTAACTGGCATTTCCAAACCCGGGCGTCCTTGACCCAAAATCTTGGCATTATCGTCATGATTCATCACTCTGCAGCCCCTTCCTCTGCCACGTCCTTCATAAAGACAAGACAAAAAACAAAAACAACAATTAAGAGAATTCCATGAATGCCTTGCTTGGTAATCAGTCAGTATCCAGGGTGTACAGTACGTCAGTACCTCTCCTACCACCAGGTGCCGCAGTAGCAACTACACCAGAAGGGTTCTGGTTATTTTTCACCCTCTGTGATCGGCGAACTCTAACTTGCAAATCTGGCATTCTTTTCCCATGCAAAAGCCAAGCACTTTATATCTCTAACCTCCAGAACAATGAAACAATAAATAACAATAGCCTAAAAGGAAAAGTAAGATGGGCAATTATGAGAAAACATATATAATAGAGAGCCAAACAACAGTAAGTAGGAAAATAACAATAAGAAAAAGAGAAAAACTTCATACCAGATCCTTACTTCCAGATGGGAAGTTATTTAATAAAAAAGCCGGCCCTCCTCAGCTTCCCCTTTAATCGTTAACAAACTAGATCAATCTCTCTTCTTCCCAATTTTCTGAAATTCCGTACAGGTGTACAAACAACAAAGAACCATAATACATCATGGAAAAACAACAGCATGAAGCACATCATCAATTGAAATTCCATTGGAAGTCACTCTTCCATAACGCTTCCTATCGAAATCACTACACTGATCAACACAGGGTTGCATAACACCGATCACGTGCCAATCGAATGATCAACCTAAGGATTATAACCCTATAAGTATCAATTCGTTGCATCCTACCATATGAGTAGCCTAGCTTCCTATACAGTGACACCCAATTTACACATTCATGCCAAACACCAGATTATGAGAATCATCTAACTGAAACACATAGTGCAACTCAATTGATCTCCAATCCAACTCATACTTGAATTGTAATAGAGTGATTACAGGAAGACTCAAGTTCATATCCAGATTTCCCTCATCAACCAAAGAACAGCTAAAAGGAAACCCGATCATCAAAAACAAATACATATAGCAGCCAAGCAAACCATCAGAGATGACAGAACGCACGAAACCAGCTAAATCAAAGGCCTAACAATCAGTTTAACCCAGAAATTCGCACGATCCTTCAATAGTTATAGCAGCATCAACTCTTGAAAGGGCGAGATCGACACACAAATTGGTTGAACATGACTAAATACAGACGATAATCCCAAAATACAAAGCGATCATCTATTCCACGTGCAGATTCACCCTCATCAATGCACCATCGGCCAAACTACCATCGAAATGCCCAAAATCGAGAGAACCCAAGTCTTCCTCTTTAACCCTGTTCCTTCCTCAGCTTTCATCGGGCAAGTGTTGGCAAGCAAAACCCATAACATGAACAGAGAAATGGAGATAAAAAGATAGTAGGGGCCAGAAGGGGAAACAAAAGAACGCACCTTTCCAACAAGGGAATCCGAAATTTTCTACCCCCACCAGCATACATAGAACAACCAATAAATTACCACACAACACAAAAGAATCTGGACGGATTGAACAAGCTACGGATGGAGCAAAGAAGCGGCACTGGGAACTGGGGTGAGCAATGAAAGAATAAGAAGAGGAGCAAAGGTTTTGAGGCGAGGATTGGAATTTCGTTGTTTCTTTATTTATCGGGTCTCCCTTTTCCTCATTTCGTTTCAGTGAAGAAGAAGTAGCTATAAAAGAGAGAGAATGGATTGGGTGGAGGCCGGAGGCGGAGGTGACTTGGTGATGGTGGTGGTAACTGGTAAGTATGGATTGGTGTCGTAATTGTAGACTAAGCAAGAATTAGTTCTTTGGTGATAGTTAAATCGATGTATTGTCATCAACGCAATAATAATATAATAATATATATGTATTGGTGATAGTTAAATCGATGTATTGTCATCAATGCAATCATAATAATATACATGTGTATA